CCGCCCCCCCCGCCGCAGCCGACCCACCTGCACGACTATATCTTTCATGTAATCGTACTCTTCGGGGTGCAGAAAGGCGGTGAACTCTTCCTTGGTGGCAGTCAAGTCTCCATCCTTGTCAGCCATCTTGAAGCGCCGCTCATCTCGCACCATCATTTGTTTATAATTAAATCCGTCATCGGGGTCGGGGTCATCTGGGCACGGGAAGAGAAGAGGCAGCCGCCCCGGGTCAGCTCGGGCAGGGCGGAGATGCCCCATGGTCACCACCAAGCCAACCTCGACCCAACCTCAACGTCCTCAACCTCAACGTCCTCAACTGCAACCTCAACCCAACCTCCTCAACCCAACCGCAACCTCAACATCCTCAGCCCGTCCTCAACCCAACCTCAACATCCTCAACCCAACCTCAACCTCAACGTCCTCAACCCAACCTCAACGTCCTCAACCCGCCCTCAACCCAACCTCAACATCCTCAACCTCAACGTCCTCAACCCAACCTCAACGTCCTCAACCCGCCCTCAACCCAACCTCAACATCCTCAACCTCAACGTCCTCAACCCAACCTCAACGTCCTCAACCCGCCCTCAACCCAACCTCAACATCCTCAACCTCAACGTCCTCAACCCAACCTCAATGACACGCCGCGTGGCAGCCCGAATTTTAGATATCGGCGGCCGTCGTGTCCCTCCCGCACCTCCTCTGCCGGGAGGAAGAGGAGGAGGAGCTGCCAGCGGCTGTGGGAGACCAGCATTCCCGAGGAAGATGCCCCCAGGAGACAGGGATCGGGAGTTTTTTTGGCCGGCACGGCCCCGGTGGCTCAGCCCAAGCTATTTCTGGAGGAGAATGTGTAAGGGGATATTGCTCCCCGCTGCCGGGGCGGCTTCAAAGCCGGCGAAACATCACCCAGCGCCCGCCGCGGCGGGAATATCTGGGCACATATGGCCACTAGATATAGCTACGCCAACAGCTATAGATAAGCTTCGGGATACCGAAGTGGGCTTTGTTTGTCAGCCTATAGGAAAATATCGATAGAGGAGGACGTAGCCGAATCCTTGCGGGGCGAAGTTAAGGGAGAGCCAGGCCCGGTCTAAAAAAAAGGCTCCCTCCCCTCCTCTGTTTACAGCCAGGACAAAGGCAGGGGATTAAGCGGCTACGCGCAAGCCCCGGTGCTGGCCAACCGTTAAATATAAGCCCGGCAAGAAGATTTTATTTTAAGTCATCCCCTCCAGGGCACAATTAAGCCCGAAGTTTCCTATTCCGTTCCCGAGCTTTCACCTCGGGAAGCGGCGTACGCCGAAAGCTCAGCGAGAGCGGACAAAAGCCTCGGGAGCAGCGTCGGCTCGCGGGGCGAGCGGAGCCAAGGCGCTATTTCTGGAGGAGAATGTGTAAGGGGATATTGCTCCCCGCTGCCGGGGCGGCTTCAAAGCCGGCGAAACATCACCCAGCGCCCGCCGCGGCGGGAATATCTGGGCACATATGGCCACTAGATATAGCTACGCCAACAGCTATAGATAAGCTTCGGGATACCGAAGTGGGCTTTGTTTGTCAGCCTATAGGAAAATATCGATAGAGGAGGACGTAGCCGAATCCTTGCGGGGCGAAGTTAAGGGAGAGCCAGGCCCGGTCTAAAAAAAAGGCTCCCTCCCCTCCTCTGTTTACAGCCAGGACAAAGGCAGGGGATTAAGCGGCTACGCGCAAGCCCCGGTGCTGGCCAACCGTTAAATATAAGCCCGGCAAGAAGATTTTATTTTAAGTCATCCCCTCCAGGGCACAATTAAGCCCGAAGTTTCCTATTCCGTTCCCGAGCTTTCACCTCGGGAAGCGGCGTACGCCGAAAGCTCAGCGAGAGCGGACAAAAGCCTCGGGAGCAGCGTCGGCTCGGGGGGCGAGGCCAAGTTCAGAGCAGTTTCTGTTAATACAGGCGGATTCTTCCACTCGGCCGAGGGGCTTTCATCGGTTTTAACCAGGCGGCAAGCAGCAGAGCGCCGAGCAAGCCGACCGTTTTAACAAGGGCTAAACCCGCCCCAAACCGCTTTGCGTTTCAGTCCCTGACCTGGGTGGCACGAGGGAAACGTTTTACGGGGCGGATGGAGGGGAGAGAGCTGGGGGGTCGCCCGGGAGCTGCGGGCGGCAAAGCCACGAGCTCGACTTTTTAACCTCCCCGAGCGATGCGAGCGGGAGAAACACGAGCGTTTCTGGTTTCAGAACCCACCCGCGGTGACGGGACCGAAGAACGGGGGGCGGGGGGGGTGTGTGTGAAGCATTTTTATTATTCTATTCTTATTTTTAAGGAGGTTTTAAAGGGAGTTTTACTTTTAAGATGAAGCTCTCGGCTGGAAGCTCTCGGCTGGTTGTTGCTTAATATTCTTCCTTTCCCTGTGGAAAGCAGGATTTAGATCCGCAGAAACAGCCTTCGGCGCCGATGCACGCCGAGCGACTTCATTACAGCCCTGGGTGCAACCCAGTGACTAACACAGTACTGAAGTTTAAAAAAAAAAAAAAAACAAACAAAAAAGGGAACAAAAAAAACCCAAACAGCATTTCATTTCGATGACAAAAAGCGAGCATTTTTTAAATACTCGGTAGAGCAGCACCAGAGGGTGGTGCCTGGGCTCCCACGCGCCGGGAGAGGGATGCTCTTAACTCGATTAAGGGATCGGCCGGCCTCTTGGCCGCGGGTCAAGCTCTCCGGAGGCATTTAGAGCGCCGCTCCGGCCGGAGAGGGGAGGGAGGAGAAAGGAGGGGAGAGACTCGTGCGAGGGACGAGACCATCCCAACAGAAAGGCTCTGGGGGGGCGGGGGGGAAAGCAATCCCTGCTGAAAGGGGAGCAGGGGGAGCCAAGGCGTTCCGGGCGAACGCGGCTGCGAGAGCCGGGCCGTCGGGATCCTCCCGGCGTTCAGCAAGGACAAAAGTACGCGGGGGCAGCGCCGTTAAAACAGGCTTTATCGGTGTCTGCCAAGGGCGCCCGGCGTCGAGCGCCGGTCCCCAGCTCAGGCCGGCGAGATCTTTACGGCGTACCGTCCCCGGCGGGGGCCAGGCGCTCCCCTCTCGCACGCGCTAATGAGGAAACCCGTTTCTCGAGCCTAAGGTGGTTTGGGGTTTGTTTTTTTTTTAAATTCTCATTAAGGTTTTTGGGGTTGTTTGGGTTTTTTTTTAACTATTCTACAGCTGCAGGTCGTAAATCCCACCGCACGGACTCCAAAAAGCGCGGTGACAAAAGCCTTCCTGGGCCCTCTTCTCCCCTTTCGAGGCTGGATTTGAACAGGCAGGTAGGCTAGGCTTTCCGTGGCTCTCGGTAACTACGCCGTTAACGGCAGAGGGAAGCTTAGCAAGGCCTGGCCCAGCCCTGAGGGGGTCTGGGAAGCTTAGCAAGACCTGAAGGGGTCTTGGGGGGCGGGGGGGGCGATTCCCCCAGCCACCGGCACGGCAAACTCCCCTTTTCCTCAAGCTTTAACCCAGTCTTTTAAGAGAAGCCGGGAATCAGCCCGAGGGGAGACGGCTGAGCCAGGGCCGAGAGGCAGCAGCCTCCATACGTTCTGCAGAGCGTTTGACTATCTTTGGAAATATTTAGTAAATTAAGCTTTATTTCATGCTTGCAAGCTGTAGCTCATCACACCACGTATGCCTGCGTTCCAGGAGGCGGGAACGGCTGGCAGAGGAACTGGTATTTTTCCAAGGTCTTAACCCCAGAAGAGCCGCCTCTTGCCTCGCTCCTCGGGGCGCTTTAAGTCCTTACGGGGCTGCTGCCCCGTCTCACGTGCCGAAAATCTACAGGCTCGGGGGTGTGTGTGTGGGGGGGTGTGTGTGGTCTAAAGCTACCGCCAGGACAAGGGGAGAGCCCCGAGATGTGCGCCCGGGACTTTGGGAAGCGATTAAGGGACCCTTTTGCTAACGACCTTCGCAGATTTAGGAAGGGCGCAGACCCCCAGAAAAACCGCGGCTTCTACAGCCACGGGTCAGTCAGGGTCT